TGCAGAATAGAGAACCTATATTAATATGGAGAGAAGTTATTCAATAACCCTTGCATTTCCAGGCTTTTCAAAGGGATTCACACCAAGAACCTGCACCTACTTAGGCATTTCACATTATGTTCTTTAGCCTGTTCTACTGAAAGGAGTGTGAGTCGTTCAAATATCACAAATAAAATTAATGAATCTGACTGAAACTGGAGACAGTACTCTTTTAAAACGAATTCAAAACCTGTTCAAACAAGGAGTTCATTTCTCAGCAGCGTGGAATTAACTCCAGTAACATTGCATCTTATATTATCACAGAGTCACAAAGGAGTCTTCCATCAAGCATGGAAACAAAGGATGTCCAGCTCTGAAGAAATATTCAACTATATACTACTTGGTTTGGTCTAATTGTAATTCTAATGATTCACAGGTAGGCATTTTGGATTTGTGTGTGTGTGTCTGTATGTACATTATGCATACACTTATATTTATACTTACATACACCTCCCCCATACACTTACTTCATAATAAGAATCCAAGCAGTGATTATTGAAAAGCCCTCATATTTTATGGAAAACAGAGGTAAGCTTTCAGAGAATTGTGTCATAGATTGTTATGACAGGTTAGTCGGAAAATAGGTACGTGAGCGAGAAGTAACATATCCATCTGAATGGACTGGAAAACTGACAAGACTGTAGTTATACATACAAATTAGAAATAAGTATATAGGCACATACACTTATGAAAAGCCCACTGTATGACTGCTGGTCCAACAATATTTCTCCATATATACATGCAATAGGTATATACAGGTCTCCTGTACACCGTGGATTAGGGGTCACGATGTAAATTGGTGCTACTTTGTTGACATAGAACTATCCCAATTCATGCCAGCTGATTATATGTTGTACTAAACGTGTAAGATTAGCTGTAGCATATGTCTTATCTCTGAGGTATTTAGGTAGTTATTTTGTAATTTAAACTATCTTTAAAATCTCAGGGGAGAAGTTAGACCCACTAATTTTTTTGAACTACCTTCAGCACAAGGAGGGTTTCTCCCTACCTGTCGGTACAACATAATTTGGATAGTAACTGTGATGCTATAGCATCAGTAATCTTGGTTCTTTCTGAAGATGGTGATTTGGATGTCTCAGAAAATTGCTTATAGTCCATATCTCTTTTGTTCATAGATTGCTGATTGAAAAACAGGAGCCTGCTGTCAGTAATCAAATACAATTGTTATACTTGTTACATGTGGAGAGGTAGGTTTGGGACTTTTCCACACCCATAAGTTTGCATCACTAAAATCACCCCTGGGATTTTTTTTTTTTTTAGTGCCCCCGCCCCAGTTCTGATGCAACTTCAGTGCATCAGAAAATAGTGCAGTCTCTTTTCCTACCATGTTTGTCCCATACAAAAAACATTCTCATTTTCTGTGGCTGTTTGGTCTAAACTGACACACAGAGAGAAGCAATAAGATGGGTATCAACTGAAGGGGAAAGAAAACACCCACTTATCACTGTTCCCTCATATTACTCCTGCTAGATTTAATTTCAGACTATCCGATTTTTATCCCAACTCAAATATCTCATTTCACATGAAGCTTGTATGGTATTAGCAGAAAGAATAGCCAGAATCTAACATTTATAGGAAGTCTCATAGCCTTTCTTTCTCATCATTGTTTTTGTTTTTGTTAATTCCCTTCCTGTTTTCAGAGAAGCAGAGCCGTTTCTCAAACCGTACTGCAGTGAACAACTGCTTGAGGACTGAATCATGTGCCAGCATCTGTGCTAGGCCACTGGTAGGACAGGGAGCTCTTGAACCATCCCAATGCTAATCAAACAATCTGGCGACATCCTGCCAACCCTGTCCTTGTCATCTGCTGCTTGCTCTGCATGCACATTCGATTAGCTCGGCATTAAATTCTCCCTGCTGTGCACAAAGTTTCTTTTCCTTTGCTACCAACCAGAGGAAGCAGGGATGAACCGTTTTAAAAAATCTTGGCTCATCGTATCTGGTTCATGACAAATACATTCTCAAATTAGTCTTGCAAGTTACTTTTTCCTAACTAGAAATGACTTGCTACAATAGCCTGTGACATGTTTTTATTCTGCTTTATATCTTTCTAGCCTGATAGTCTGTTTTCTTTTTTTTTAATACCATGCTAATTTTCCCAGCCTCTTTCTTACAGTTTGATTCTGAAAAGGGGGAGCAGTTTGCCTTTGACCTAGGGAGGTGCTTAAGCAGATAAGCAAGTCCAACTATCTTCAGACCCCTGTTACTTGTGTGCTTAAAGTTAAGCATAGGATCAAATACTGGGTTGCAGTAGGGTAAGATCAATCCCAAAATGTAAACACTGCTAATGGAAGTATATCATGGAATTAATTTTCTTTTTCTTTTCCTGAACATAGAGCAGTGATGTTTCCTCCTTTGGGTATGATGGCTGCCAGTGGTTTAGCTATTTCTCTACCTCCTTACTCCGCTGTTGTTGTCCTCTCCCTGCACCCTCTTTCCACCACCAGAAACAGAGCAGGAAGAGGATTATGAAAGCAGAAATCCCCTTGGACAACTCAGATCAAGGATGAAGAACTCATAAAGCATGGCTGGAATCATTCCCACGTGCAGGGAAAGGTCAGTGAATGCCTGTGGAGAGTTTGTCCACAGGGGGTGGATAATTCCCAGTAACATAGGACCTTCCAAGAGTACAAGGCAAAAGGAAAAGTGCCTTGAAAACAAGCAGCTCTTTTGGGCTAAGGCAGTTAGTCCTGTGCAGTTCTGAGAGCATGAGCAGCACTAAAAATAAATATTTTTATGGCATAACTAGCAGAGGCCAGCCAACAACCACACCGAAACTTAACCTCGTGGGGCTAGACGTTAGGGACTTAAATATCCTTATGGATAACAGTAGTGAATTTACAATTTAAGAATGAAGAAGACATTTCAAAACATAAGAAAAGGTTGAATCCTAGAGTTTAAGCCTTCACAGGAAGTAGCAGTAACCTGGATAAAAAGAGTTTTAATATGGATTCTATATTCTTAGGGAACATGGAGTAAGGCTGCTTTTTTTTTTTTTAACCCCGATACTACCTTAGGTAATACAATAAGTACAGTGACTGAGCTAGTATCAATGTGCACTGCTTCTGTGCACTGGGTTGAACCAGAGTGCTGTGTGCCACCAGCCTTGTGAAATTCACTGCAGCAACGATTCCGCTTTCATTTACTAGGGATAGAAATCCCTTCCTGATCAGTGCTGTGCTGCATCAGCTGTCATCACCACCACAATGAAGTGCTACGTGATGATGGCAGACAAGGGCGAAGTCCTTAAGAGAAATACAGATTATCTGATTATGAATGAATTATTATCTGATTAGGATGAAACACTAATTATGCTATTTGTAGAGTGCTTTCTCTCTGCCTTTCCCATTTGGACTCTTGCTTCTTGTTATATATCTACAAGCTGGGCATCTACTCTAGGCTGGAAAAGTAGGCTAGATACTATACATATATATTGATTATGATATATATATATATATATATATATATCATAATCAAAAGGGAGCCATAGGTACCTCCAGAGGGCAATTCATCACCTCTTGGAGGTTTCTCTCTCTATCGACAGTAGAAAGAGTCAAGATCACCAAAGCCCGGTTAAACATTCAACTTGTAGACAGCTGTACTAGAGAGTCATCTAACTTCTAGGTGTCTAGGTAGCGAACTGGAAATTGCTCAGGGTGTCAAGGCAAAGATGCTATACTTCTCAGCACACTGTTTGGCCAATGTTTTGGTCAGCTGCCTGCTCTCTCCCAGAACATTGCCTCACAATATAAACTAGTTAGCTGTGTTTGATTCAAGGCTATGGCAGGAGAAAGACAGTAATGTATGGAAAATCAAGTTAAAACCTATTTTCCTCCTGGATACTTTAAAATAATGGGCCAGGAGTACTTACAAGGACTGAATGAATAAAAGGCAATATGTCCATAATAAAACAGTTACTGGAAAGGTAATTTAGGACACCCACACCTCATATTTTCTGTCTAAGTTGGGTCCCTTCAAGTACAGTTCTCTTGTGCTTTAGATTGAGTCCTTATCCTGCAAAGTTTTTTTTTGTTTGTTTTGTTTTGTTTTTAAATACCTACACCCTTCAAAGAGGGGAGGAAAAAAAGAAACCGACATGGAAAAAAGTCCCCAAAATTCCTGGAATGACTAAAGAGAGAAATCTTGAGCTTGGTCAGCTGCTCTTCCATCTACTAGACCAGAGAAACTGCGAAGACCACTGAAGACAGAAGAAAGGCTTAAGCCTACTATGGGATCAAGTCAACCTTATTGTTGTAATCAGGGATCTAGCACTGACCGCAATACCACATTACAATTCCTTGGGCAGCAGGTCATTTAATGATTTCCCACCTTGATTCCCTTTTTACATTTACTCTATAATTGCTCTTTTAGTTGGATCATTTTATACATCACTCATTACAGAGTTGTGTAGTGGGAGCAGCAGCAGTTGCATAGGGTAGGCAGTAACTTCCAGCACAGGTGAGAGTCACCAGTGAATTCAACAGGGAGGGACCACGTCCTTTTGAGTCAGGACTAGATTTCAGGCAGGGAGCAGTCCCAGTAAAATCCCTGGAGCTCACTGACTGCAAAGGTGAAAAAAGAGGAAAATGACTTTTACTACAGCTGCAAATGCAGAAACATGAAACTGTTGCAAGGCTGTTTCATGGTACAGTCTTTCACACCCAGGAAGTGTTGTAACTCATTTATGAGCCATTTTACAGCCTTCAAAGACTACTGTGGCCGCACCATTCTCTAGAGTTCAACCTGACAAACTGTTTCATACCTGGGCTTGTTTGCAGGCAAAACAGGAAAGAACTGTCATGGCTTAGCTCCAGTGTGGATCCAAGCTGAAGCAAAGATATTTTAGACCATATTAGCTGGAAACTTTGAACTAACTTGAACTGAACAAACACTCTTTAATTTGCATGAAAATAACTAGGGGTTTGGCTTCATAACTAATTTCTGTGCTGCATATTGTGCTTATTATCTCTACAAGAACTCCATACAAGCTTCTGAAAATATAGCCCATTTCTAAGTGTTACAGTAAGTTGTTGTTGTTGTTGTTTTTTTTTTTTTTTAAAAGGTAACATAATATGGCAACTCCTACCTGAGTCTTGATGAATCTAGACCTAGGATGATGTTCTCCTACACTGGAATGGTTCTCCTAGTGTCTATTACTTCTGTAAGGAGAAATCGCAAACACCTTTTTCTATACAACAATATAAAGAAGATGACTCACATGATGAAGAGAGCTGACAAAGAATTGGGCTTAGAATTTGTATTTGCTCCTTGGTTGAAATCCTGTAATCGTTTTGAGGGCAATACAGGAGTTACGCTCAGCTGTATAAATGAAAGCCACAGAAAGACATGTAAATATATTTGTAGCACAGGCAAGCAGCTTTTAAAAACATCCCTCAAGAATATAAACCTTGAGACTTACCATTTCAATGATTCAGTTATTAATGACAGTGATTGATTTAGCTAAGAGCTTGGAGAAGCAAGTTACCTCCATACAACAGTTCTGCTGTGTGTTTGCTGAGCTGGAATAACTCTTTTAGAGACCAAAGTAGGCTATCTTATGTAAATGCAGTTCTTCCTCAGCAGGCTCAGCTGAGATTACTCATTAGTTATCTGCTGCAGGATAGGAACAGGAATACAGCCGGGTACTGAGGATCAGCTGACTCAAATGATTTCTTGTGGCTGAGACTCAAGCTCTACTCGAGTCACAGCACCAGTCTCAGAGTGCTCTGAAGGACAGAATTTTGAAGTGGTTCCAGACTGGATCCCAGCTTCAAGGTTGGGGCTCACCAGTTTTGAATTGACAGTCTAACTTCATGGTATGAGGAATCCTGTGTTAATGATTTCCCTGGGCAGTATAATGCTTTGGTATTCACTGAAAAAAACCCTAAGACAAAGCTGCTGTAGTTAGAAAATTTGTTTTCATGAAATGTTCACGTCAACAGAAGAATACGGCGGCATTTGAAGGGGAACTTGTGATACAAAGCTCATTGACATCAGTTGGACTCTCTTCATTGACCTCTGAGACCTTTGGATCTTAAGATCTTAGTTATAGCTATACTTTTGAGTTTTCAGGCATGTTCAGACCAGCTGTCCGTTTACTGAGTGAGCTGTCCTTACTTAAGATTAATTGGTTAACTCTTGTCTCAGGAAAAATACTTACATCTAAAGCCACATATGCCTTCTCATAGAAGGACTCTTCCTCGAATTATATGTTGGCTCCTTTCTGTATTGTATTTCCTTGCAAATAATAAAACACCATGCCATTGCAAAGAAAACATGGTGTCTTAATTTCTCTTCTTACAGTCTAGCATTTTCCTGGCAAAGTCATAATGCATTGAGTACATTAAACAGCTGTATAAATTCATTTTTTGGTACTGAAAATGTGTTGCATTTTAGGTCATTAAGCACTTCTTAATGTAGCATCATCCTAAAAGAAAGTACACTAAAAGGCTATCAAAATTGCTGATACCGTATTTCTTATCAGAAAGAAACAGCTATCATTGGAAACAGAGCTATTGCATTTAGGCAAAATAATATCGTGACCAACAATTTAAGCCACATATCTATTGAGGACCTAGTTTTACAATTTAGTTTATAGAAGCAAATTTACCTTTGCATTTCAAGCCTAAACAACGCTGGATGAATACAGAACATAACAAACAGCCCCACTGGAAGGCCAGTTTTTCTACCTACCTGGGATCCTGTTTCTGTAGAGGAATATAACAACAAGGTAAACGTATCATGACGTTTTCCCAGCTTCAGAAAACCAGCTTTCCCAACCTTCAGTCGTTTCAAGTTCAAGAACTTCTGGAGTGGGAGGTGAATACCACAGCTTCCAAGGAATGCATTTCTGTGCATTTCTCCAGTCCCTTTTTGAAACTATAAACTTTTAGTATCTGCAAATGGAGCAAGGAGATCCATAACTCTGTTATGTGAAATTTCTTATTTTTTCTGTTTTGAACCTGCCTCCTGTTATCAACTATAAATGTCTTTTAATCAGTGTTTTGCCAGAGGTAAACCTTCCTCACGCCACTCAAGATTTAATCGGTCTCTATCATATAGCACCTCCCTTCCCCCAGCCATCTATTTTTCAGACTGGCCACCAAATCTATATATTTCTTCTTCATGTGCAAACTACTCTACACCTCAGTAAAAGTGTTTAAATCATGTGAAATTACCCAGGTGAAGGTGAGTTTAGCCATAAAGAATACTGAGCAGGGTACATATTCAGAGCACCTCATAAATGTTATAAACATAGACCAGTAAATTTTCTCATCTGCCATGTGAATAATTAGCCATGTCTTATGAGCAAAGCATCCTGAGTATACTCTGGAGGAGCTATTGCATAACTTGCTGTAGCTCTTTTCTGGCTGCATGACTGTCTTGTAGCCACTGTGGCTGCCTAGCTGGTGGGTACTAAGCCATGGGCAGTGTTGCGATTCTGTGTGAACTGGAGGGGAGATGGTTTCAGCCATGTTGAAGATTATGCTTGCAGCTTCGCAGCATGTACAAGACACACAATCTTGCGGCTATCACTGCAGTTGTCACTGGCTTGCCTGACTCTCCAGAGTCTAAGGGATCTGCTCTTGAGTTGAGGGTTTCCCACCTCCTCTTCCCACAGAGCCTAAACGAGCCTTTCTAGTCTCACTGGGAGCCGCACAGACTTTTCTTTCAATGAGTTAGAACTGTCTCCTAAGACTTTACCTGTCACTGACTGCCATTTTACAGACTTGCCTGGTTTTGAGTTTTTTACCCTCCTGAAATAATTATTCTTGTGAGACCTCCCTTGCAGTAGATCTAGAACCAGAAAGCAGATTCTCCTTGGTCTCTGAGTCAGCCAACACTTGGGATAAGTGGGATTCAATCCTGAATCTCTTCAGTATAAAACAGAAGAATAAATCAAATGAAAGCACAAAGGGACTAGACCGGAACGTCTCATGAGAGGCTATCCCTTGTAGCCCTGTGTTTTACACTTATATACCAGTCACTGAAACGCAGCTGCTGCGAGGGCAGGGAGTGAGACCAGCTCAAGCACCTGGCTGAACCAAAGCAAGTCAGACGGAAAGTTAGATTAGCAATAATAAGACAAATCCTCATCACTGGGAATTGTGAAGTGTTGCCGAGCTTTTTATAACAACAAGGAGGACCTAAAACCTTGTTGAGCCTGTGTCTATTTCAGTAAGTGAACATTTAAGCTGTATGATATTTGATAATGCTTTCTGTAAATACATAAAGGATCATCGAGATCCTTTTGAGGCTGTAGCTTAAAATTCTAGGTGGTTTAGACCAGATGCTTAGCCCTATGAGCCACTGCCTACCAGTGCAGAGACAGCAGAGATTTAGTTTTTTACACTCCCAGCAAGTACATAAACATCAACCAGAAACTTTCCACTTGTTACACCCACCATGAACAAGAAGGTGAGGGAGAGGAAAATATCCACGTGTGCATATTAAAGAAAGCAACAATGAACTTTCAAATGTACTTTTACTATTCTGAGCATCTCAGGACAGCTCTCTTCTGGAGCTTTTCTGGAGATGGATAATTCTCTTTCTAGTATTCATTCTTACTACATGTATTTTTATAGGAGATATTCCCTGGATATACAGATCTCAGCTATGATGCAAAGCAAATACTGTATTTAACTCTTTAGATTAGAACAGCACTGATTTAATTTGAAAGCAGCTTTGGTCTGTGTTGAGCTGCTGTAGAACTGAAAAATCTGGCCAGAAAGGGCACAGGTGGATCTAACTATCTCCAGATAGGTCTAACTGTCTCAATTCTAACGGTGCCTAGATTACAGCTATCGTGGATCGTAAAGAATGAGAACCAGTAAAGCCATTGTATGTGCCATTGAGCGTTCAATTCAATTGAGAAGAGTTTTGGCCTAATGTCCTATGAAGAAGGAAAAAAAAAGGTTGCCTCCAGAACGCAGCAGAAAGGAGAATTTTTCCCAGGGATATTTTAGCTAGAAAGGTCCCCATTCAAACTTTTTCTCAGGAAAAAAAATAGTAAAAAGTGAAAAAATTCCTACTTTTTTGGTCACAAAACAATTCTCTAATAGGTAAAAAGCTTAAAAATAATCAGAAAGTGCTGGACAAGACGCTTTCTTTTTGAAAGCAGCATCTTCACTTTTAAGTAATACCAAAGAAGAGAATGTTACTTTAATAGTTAAAAGTGGCACTTAAAAGCGAAGAAGCTACTTTCAGCTATTCTGTGTCACAGCTTTTATAATGATTTTTAAGTGAAAAAAATAGTGAAAAAAATGACCTTTTCTCAATGAGAGTATTAAAGTAATAGCATATGGAGTGAAAAAGCCTACCCTTTTGTCTAGGAAATCCCACTTTACCAGGTGATTACTATACCTGAGGCAAGAATATAATGCTATTCAAACAATATTTTGGACATGTTAGAACGGGATGTGGTTCATTTTGCAGTATTAATATGATTACTGCTGAACATTAAGAAATTTTTCTTGAAAAAAAATGCATAGGAAGTAGAACTAAACTCTCCAGTCTTACATGGATCAGCATTATAGAGGCACAAAGGCAAAATTTTCCAAAGATCCAAACCAAAGCCCTATAAAAACCAATGAAAAGCTTCACAATGGGCTTATAGTGTAGGTAACCTCCCCACTGACTACAAATGAAATTAATCTGTCAGGCAGCAATAATTCAGTGATATAATTAACTTGCTTAGAATACAATCACTTTAACTTTCATTAAAAGTGATGAGTCTCTTTCAATTACCTTGTCAAGATGGTATTTTGTTGTTGTTTGCTTGCTCGCTGTTGGAAGAAAAACCCTCTTTTTGGTTAATTTCCCCTTGGACTGGTGATTGATGCTATAATGGAGTCTGACTTCCTGGGTCATGTTTGCAAATGTAGTGATAAATAGGGACATCTGTAGAATGGAGAAATAAAAGGTCATTTTCTTAGTGAAGACACGAGTATGCACATTTCACCCAAAAGTTAACGGGAACTCAATGCAATACTGATTCTGCCTCAATAGTTAGATGGATGGTAAGCTTGCATCACAATAAGAGATTGCACAAGTTTTCCAAGCAGTGCCAGGCAGATGAGGGAAAAATGCAGACCCTGAAGCACCCCAGAGTCTGGATACATCACGACTTTTGGCCTCTTAGATCCTGAAATTCTCCCCGTAAATAGCCTGGCCTGCGTTCTCTGCTACATCAGGATTTCACTGGGCTTTCGAAACTCAATAGTTCTCATTGATTTCTCGGCACTATGGTTAAATTTTCCCTTCTCCTGGGGCTGGCACTAGCAATGAGCAGCAGCTGCCTCTTTTCCTGCAGTGCTTGCTCTCTCACTGAACTCCCAGGTCACCTTTGACTGTCCACTTGCAGCTTATTTCCAGCCTGAAGCTCAAATCTGACCAGGATGACAGAGAAGCTGTCATGGAAGAGCTGTGTCCTTCTCCTAAGTATGTGATACTTCTAGCCTGTGCAGCCTAATGCAAGTTACAGAGAAGAGCTGCACCAAACCACAGCAGGGGAGAAAAGAGCATTAAATAAAGATGAGACTGTATCAAGTGAAACTATGAGGAATTTGGCAGTTTTGATTCCCACAGGTTCACATGAACATCTTCAGCTGCAATCCATTGAGCAGCTGCCAAAGACACAGTGGCCACGGGGGCTGTTACAGTCTGGGCTACAGAGAAGGAGATGCCACCTGGAGTGTGAATTCTCACCACATTCGCTCCCAGTCACATTTGTATATGCATTAAGATTTATATTCCTCCTTTCTTTTCTTTTTCACTCCTCTTCCCAAAAGGGGCGGAAAGCTGATAAAATTTGAAAAGAATTGAAAGTCCACCTTTTTGAATTGGAGACAGCAGTCAGTGGGACCATCTAGTCACTGTCTTCAGACAGTGCTGAGACGGACTGCTCTTTAACCTACCAAACTGACCAGATATTTCTTTATCCTATGAAAGTCCAAGGCGGCGGATATTCCAAAGTGGTAAGGTCACAGTGTCACAGTAAAGTCACAGTACAGTGTCAGATGGTATTGGAATATTAACAGTTGGAAGGTGGTTCAGATGCATCTTTAAGCATAAACCTAGAGCTAAATAAATAATGGTCTAGTAATTGACAGCATGAAGAGTCAGGGGAGGAATGTTGTCTCAGTTGACCTGAAAGAGTTTAAAAATAGGGAGCAAAACAGAAAGAAATATATGTAAATTTTTAATCTGGGCAAACCAATTCTGTTTTCACATTATTTAATAGCTATTTTAATATTAAAATATAGCTTAATTTTTAATGGAAAAAACAGAGCTTTGAAGGCAAAGAAACAAAACAGAAAAGTTCCAATTAGAGAATGTTAAATGTGAATGTGTCCCTGCTGATTCTCCTTTCCCACCCCTTCATGACAAGTTCACCCAAATCCTTTCAGCAGCTCTGGAAATCCATTTTTAGATAAATTTTTTAATCATTTGACCAGCCTCGCTGAGGTCGCTACAAAGCCAGTATTGGTTGTACAGCATCTGCTTTGTCCTTTTACATAAGAAGCTTTTGAATAACTCCAAGGAGTACATTGCTCGGGCATCTCCATGTTGTGGAAACAGATCTCCCGAAGTTCACCAGTGTATAGCGGTAGCCTGTCCCTTTCCGTCCACCCAGAAGGGCCAGGTTTCTCTACTTTGCTTGGCCAGACAGTGCCCTGGCTGGTTCCTACAGACTGCTGAGCTGCCTAGCAAAGCCTTTCCAACAGAAAAAGGCCTGACATTGAGAATCAGTCCATTTTTGCAGTCCATGGAGGAGCAGAGAGAAGGAGAAAAGACTAGGGAGTATCTTGCTCTTAAAAAGTCAAGGAGTCTGTAGCTTTTAATTTTCAGCCTTAATCTCACATTTGCAGGAACCCTCACTTCCAGGTTCAATCTAAATAGCCCTTTCTTCTTGTTCTTGTCCTTTCTATCCTCACCCTGTTCTTCGACTCCATCCTGGAATAAGACACTTGTTCCGGTGTCCTGTTCTGCAGTGACACCCATTAAAACTGGGATAACGAGGCCAGCTGGCTGAATAAAGCAGAAGCAGGGATGAGTGGTAATAACATTTTACTGCTCTGGTGGATAGATACAGGCAGAGCAAATGATACAGTCTACCTTTTAAACTCCGGTTCAGGGTCTCTCCTGCTTAGGATTCCCCTAGGATTTTCTTCCTTCATTCTGTGCAATCTTTAATGTATGTGATGGTTGGCAAGGAAATGCCTAGTTAAATCTGGCTTAGTATTCAGCAAATATCCAAAGGGCTGAATGATACTCTAATTAGAACCTATTTGCCTCAAACTTCCTCTATATGCATGAGCTTTCCTCCGTGACTGTACTATATCCCTTGGCGTTATTGCAGATGTATCCCGCTCCTTTCCTCCTGCTGTCAGTGCATTCATTACCAGCTCAGCAGGCAGCACCAAGTGTGCAGAGCGTAGCAGGACTTTGGACTCTGAGCTCCCCTGACCCATAAGCTCAGTAAACATGGAGCTTTTCACTGCTGAGCTCAGAGTCACAAGTGCAAACACTGCCAGGATTGCACCTAGGGGCAAGGGAGGATAAGGGGTGAAATATGTGCTTTAATTACTCTGTTCCAGGGCAAAGCCAGTTCCACGGCACCGCTATGAGCAGAACGCACTCAGGCCTACCAAGCCATCTGTACTGATGTACTTCATGTGAAGTATGCCTCTGAGATGGGGCAGTTTTTTCTGGGCGTGGGTTTGGTGACTGGAGGTACAAGATGGGCATGTCTAAATCCCCTAAATATGGCAAATCCTAGGTAGACTGAGTGGATTCTGAGTATGGGCCGGATCACCATGGCTTGAATGCACTGGGGTGCAGAGAGAGGAACCTGAAGACTGTATTCCCCTCCTGAGTTGCTGGGGGCTTCAGACTACCAAGGGGGAAAAAAACCCTCAGAAATCATGCCTGTGATTTTAAAACTCTGTTTTAAACCAATTTGTTCAGCATTATATTAAAAAAATAGGCTGTCACAAAAATAACCAAACTGACATGAAGTCTTTAGCCCAAGTGCTAAAATTAAGCCATGACATAAACAATTGTAAAATGGAGGTTATATTTATGTAGATGTATTCATTCACCTTTCAGACACTCATACATAGTATGGTCTGGTGACCTGTTCCCTCAGCTAAGTTACAGACTGAAATTTAACTAAAATTCTTGAGAAAAAAGTGAAAGGGAGGAAATATCTTACCAACATCTCCACTTGGCACTCCAAAACACATTATCGTTCTACTAGTGTTATTTGCACACACAAATGACTCCATTTTCTAAGACTGAAAGATTAGCTGAAAAGTGTGCAGTTTAGGTGTAACTGAAAAAGAGTAAATTTTAGAAATAAGGTTTCTTCTAAATCATATTTTCCTATAGAAACTAGAGATTGATTTTGGTGCTGCTTTCTTTCTGGGAAATTCCACAAAAAGCATTATTTAACGTTCTGTAGGTTAATCCAGATTTGCCTAAGGACGTTGGCTGTGTAGCAGGTTTAGCTCCAGGTGCCCTGAGCCTCTTTGGTGGCTATGCTTGCCAGCCATATCATATGTCTTAGGAGTCTCCCTGCCTTTGCCAGAGCCTCTGTGGGGTGGAAATTCCATTTTTCCGGTTAGCTTTATTTTCTGCACATTTATTTTCTACTTTTGTCTCAGAGAGTTCTTTGCTTTAATTATATTGCAAGATATGTTTAAATATCTTCCATGCTTCCCTTTTTAGTCCTGTCCTCCTGTGATTTACTGGGCATTGTCAAACGCAAATCTCTGGCTGGAAAACCCAAGGCCAAATGCTTGAGCAGAAGACAATGGTGGCTGAGATTTTATCGGAAGGGAGCCTATCTTATTTCAATATAGCTCATACTTTAAGAGTGCTTGCCACCTTCTGGTTTGAGAAAGGATTACAGTTATTTAACTCAAGAATATTGTGGAAATCAACTGTAAAAAGGCTGGTCCTATTCTTAATCCCCCGAAACAGATGAGAGATTTTCAAGATGTCAGAATACCTATTGATAAGTTTTGAAGTGAAAATATCTTTTTTGTTTATCAAAAGGACATAGTGGCCTCTGGCAACAAACAAACAAAAACTGATCTTTTAAAGGAAATACTGGCATCACTGGAAAATTTATGTAAAGTGTTCAGGCAAAATATTGAGAACAGAAATAATGAAAAAAATTACTCTTACAAGTGAAACAGGTACAAATCCTTCAAAAGGAAAATAACTTTGAAATTGGGAACTTTTTTTCTCATGAAGATATTTGCAGTTTTGACCAGTCTGAGACACTGCCATTCAATCTTGTCCAAAGTGGGCAGTCTGCCCAGTTTCAGTGATGCCAGTAAGACTGTCGTATATGCCATTTGTACAAGAGGGGGATGTATATTACCTCTAAAAGAGCCGCTTAGAAATTATGATTACTCAAAGAATATGAATAGCATCACTACCCAAAATCAAAGCTTACCCCAGCCAGTCATTTGCAATTTAGTAGCATGAAAGAGTGTTTCCTCAAAACACATACGTATCACTAAGGCCAATAAATGCTTATTCCAGTGGATATCACGTTCATCTGGCTTCATGTAATTCATACTTTATTTCAGATGTCACAAAACTGTCCAAAAAATCATTCATATTTAATTCTACAGAGATCCTGATAGAAGGCACCAGAGTGTTTGAAAGTATTTCAGTAGCACATGAAACAATGTGACTAACATTTGCCATTTGTTTGTTCAATTTGTTCCTTAACAGTAAGGAAAGATGGACAGTAAAGCAGTTCTTCTTGTATGTGAATTTTTATACTACACAGAAAGAATTGTTTTTATATTAGAAAAGGCAAGTCAAAACCAATGTTCTTTACATTGGTGGCAGTAAGATTTCAGTGGTCTACTGTTCTTGAG